TGAAGAAGCCACTCTGATGGGGCTACATCACGGTACAAAGCAAGGCTGCCTTTTAAAAACTTTGAATGAACCACACTGATACTGATTACGCTTTCTTTGAGAATTAAACAATAAGAACATGGCAAGTACTGATAACCAGTCGATGTTATCTGGAAATCCAGGTAGGCCTTAAAATACGATTGGAAAAGGAAAAGGAAAAGGAAAAGGAGTTATCTCAATACAATCATTTTCTGCCCAGAAATGGGGCTGGTCACTGTTTGTACCTTTTTTGTTCTCCCTTTCGCTTGAACAGAAGAAGATGTTGCAAGCTACTCAAAGGAGGACCTGCCTACAACAATTGGCGGTTTGCCAACATAAAAGCAGCTGTGGCATGTACAAATACAAGTTTGAGCATTGATATCCGAATACAACTTAGATCTGAGCACACCAATATGCATAGTGCTCATCTTTGCGATGGTTACTAACAAGACCGCCACATTGCAAACAAATAAAACTGCTCCCATCTGAGAATGCATCCATAACAACTTGCATCCTACCAGTTTCTGCCAGTATAGAATTACCGTGAGCATCGACAACCGATGAGCTAGACATGTTACATTCTCCAGGTTCAGGGTTCAGAGGCTGAGCTTCAGCTATAGCACACTCTGCAAATATAGAAGCTAGTTGATCAACATCTGCAGTCTCCCGCAATCGAGTTCTGTACAGCTCACCAGCACGGTGCAACGATTGAAAGACTGCTGCATCCCCACCTTGGGTTCTCATTGCCATTACAACCTGTCCAAACATGAAAAACAATGTGCTGGAAACTATTAACAAAATTTATTGATCTCATTCTGATTCTCTAATAGATCGGGCTCATATGCTCCATCTATGATTTAGCCATGTTGATTGAGGTATCTGAGTGACTACTACAACGGCATGCATGTGTATTATCCTTTCCTCTAAGGGCTATAAAATATCATAGGTTTATCAGTATCTGCCTCACTCAGCATGGAGTAGATAGCTATGGGGACAGGAAGTTCTACAACATTTCAGGAAAAATTTGTGTGTATGTACCTTAGTTTTTTTTATTTCTGAAGAAGTTTCAGTACGACATGAAATCCAACATCAAGTATATAGATTGACACAATCTGTTCCTGATGAGAGATTAATGTTCCAATTTTTACGACATTCCAACACGCAAAAATATCAATGACAAAGCATCTAAGAGAAGGAGGTGGTAGTATTTCAAATCCTCTTAAGATTGGCAGAGGGCTTAGGAGCTTTCTCTGAAGTGAAAGCAGATTATGGTAGGCTAAAGGATTCTAGAGATCTTATAAGGAACAAAGTAGCTTTCGTAGCAACCCCTTCAAGGCATTTAACCAAGATGTTTAGGTCAATAATTTGCTGGTTGTGGTCGACTACTCTGAGCGCCCAGGATTGGAATGAAATGCCATGTTCAGGGATGGAATCCAAGCAAGCTATGCTTAACACTGAGCATAAAAGACTATGGAATGCGATGGTTTGTTATAGGCTTGCCTGAAAGAAAGCTCTATTGGCGAATTTTCAATCCCATTTGTCAGCCAGAACTCAACCGAAGTAATTTAATTCAAAGAAACTCAACTGTTGATAGTTCAAAGATAAACCAGAAGCTAAATATAAATAAGCGAACGCAGAAAGGCCTTGAAAGAACGAGAATAGACCAAGGAAGAATTCGAGAGAGAGAGAACTTTTTCTTTTTTGTCGAACGTACCGCTTGGAGGGCTTGAGAAGGCTTTCGTTGATTGATGAATTGACGAGCTAATGTGAGTAATTCGCGGACAGAATCGCCGGCGACGGCTCCATTCGCCGAAAATTCAGCCTCCATCAAGTCCGACTGTTTACAGTCCATGGGATCATCGGGAAATTTTCCTTGAGATCTTGCTTTATACATGAGAAATCCAAGGCAGATTCTTTTTTCCCTTTTTCTTTCTTTTTTCGTGGGAAAATTGCAATTTCCACAATCATCTTTGTGACTCTTCAATTTTTCAATTTTTCAATTTTTACCCTAAAATTTTGATGAATTCATCCAATTATATTGAAGGTTTTGTTTTATTAATACTCAAAAACTTTAAAAAATAAGAAATGGTTAAATTTTGTTTCAATAATTTATAATTCTCATAATTTTTTTTTTTTTAAAATACGATAAGTGAAAAGAACTTTGTGGATAGGTATTTGATAATTGATACCCAACCTGAAGCGCATTGATCCATATTCCCAACACAGCGGGTAACAACAGGGGTTGGGCTGAAGGCGCGCGGCCACCGCCCATGCTGAAACTTCTCGTCTTATGGCTGTCGCCTCCTCATCGGAAGAGAGTCGCAGCTTCCACTAATTGGTGAATGGTGAGTGATTCGCCTCTTTGCCCTCCGGTAATATATTCTTTTTTCGTAACAGGGATCGCTTAAACATCTGCATAATTAAATTAATCTAGAACACGAATGTCAAATTTCCGACAGATTATTCTTGAATTAGAAAACAATAATGTAATGGCTTGCAAATTGTTTATACGTTTCTTTTTCCTTAGGTGTGAGTGTATGGGCGTTCTACTGAGAGTTTTCTTGGGATTACAATTGCGATGCAGAAAATTGAAAGCACAGACAATGCGATTCCGAGATGCGCCTCGGAATTTATCAAAATTTAGGGAAAATGTGGCTGATATTTGGGAATGGAAGTAATTGGGGGATTAATAGAGGTAAACATGCAGGGCATTAGAGTATAAGTCCACATGCGAGGGCAAACCCTGGGAAATGCTAAGAATTTTGCACATTCAACTATTGGTCTCTGGAAAGGCAGATCTGGAATGCAATTGTTTCTAATATTTAATACTCCTCTCCCTATCAAAATCCGACACAGAGGCCCTACAACAGTGAAATAGTTGTCCGACAAAGATAGATTTATGAGATTTCGAAGCGCGCAAACCATTTCCGGCACCATACCATACAGTAGATTTCCAGCGAAATTCAATTGCTCCACTTTCTTTAGGCAAGCCAAGGAGAAGGGTAATGGTCCTGTTAAACGGTTGTTGCCGGCATCAAATACAACTGCTTCGTCAAGTGATCCCAATTCATAAGGCAAACACCCTGATAAGGAGTTGTTTACCAGCAGAACCTCAGTTAGAGTTGACAAAGCTTCCACAATACCGACTGGAATTGAACCGCTTAACTTGTTGTTGGCTAAGGTGAGATAGAGAATATGGGTGCTGGAAAGACTGTCTGGGAGATTTTGCATGAGATTGTTGTTGTTGATCAGGAGAAAATCAAGGTCCTGCACGAAGAGTCGAGGTGGGACTGACCCAGTGAAGAAATTGAACCGAAGGTCCAAGAAGGTTAGGCTGTTCAAACCAACAACAGCAGTAGGAAATGGACCAGATAATCTGTTGTTGCTCACGTCCAGCTCGTATAGATAAGGGAGCTTGGCAATGTTCGTGGAGATGGTGCCTGCAAATTTGTTGGAATTGGCATGAAACACAGCAATGTCAGGGAGCTGATCGAGGAAGCCTTCGAGGGATGGTGCACTGAGTTGGAAGCCATTGAAGTCTATGGATGCAACAGCCGTGGCCGACTTGTTGTCTGGTGGGTTGTCACAGTAAAAACCTTTGTAGTTGCATATATCCGATCCAACCCATGTTTTAGTGATTCCTTGAGGATCCGAGGAGATAATTGACTTGAATTTTTGAATCACAGGGTACACCACTGAAAGCCTCAGGTCTTCAAATATCAAAACCTCTGCTTCAACAGGCAAAAGAGATGATCGCTGAGCAGTTATTGGTTGCTTACAGTGAGGCCACCCCCGATCACATTCTTTTCCCGAATTTCTGTCACTACCCACTTTGAAGTATTGCGTTTTGTTGCCAGTAACATTGACTATGGCGTGGACAACGAAAGAAGAGAGCAGGTTGCCGAACAGAAACAGCAAAACACTGGGAGGTATTTTACTCATATTTATCTGCCCAATAAATTGTTTTCTTTGTAGCTCATTCAGGATTTTATAAGAGGTGACCAGATCAGACCAAGATTCATAAACCAGCTTGTTATATATATAGAGTGTTGGCAAAAAGAAGAGGGGATGCTGTAAACGCTTTGGGATCAAGCAGGTATGGCTCTGTAAATTAGTAGGTGGATTTTTGTGTCAAGTTGATAAAGCATAAAACGATAAACCAAAAAATTACAGTACAAAAGTGGAAATCAATGATCCAAACTTTTCAAGAATTGGGTCCAGTACTTCGGGTCCCAACACTGAAAACAGAAACCAAATGGCAATGATAAAAAAAAAAAACTATAATGAAGAAAAACCACCCTCGCATAAGTTGCTCGTCAGATTGGAGATATGGTTCATTAGTATATGACAACTTCATCTAACCTTTTCATATATTGATCCGCCACTTCAGTACTATAAAGTGTCAATATTTTAATTTGCATTTGAACTTTGATTTTAAGATCATACATTATTCTGTGAGTTTTAAAGAGCTGCAGTCTTGTATTGAAGGATCGGATAGGTCTTATGAAAGTCAACTATTTTTCTCTATTTTAGAGTCACCTTTTTGCCCATTGGATTCCATTATCTTAAGATGATAATGATTGCGTTACTGCATACAGCTGTGTAGCTGCCTTAGTGAAACAAAAGCTCAATGTCTCGATACACGTTATAAACGGTCCCTTTTCTCTTCTTTTTGAAAAGGTACAGACATGAGTGACAGATTTGAATCTCTAAGAAGACTTAATTTCGTCATTTGACTGTGATTGGCAAGTCGATCACCATAATTATGGCAAGATTGGAACCAATCTACTAAAAACTAGACTTCCCAATAATTAAACAGAATTCATAAAGATGATATTAGTGATGGGTCGAAGCCCACAGGGAATCAAATGGATAATTCGTTCGACCCACACATAGGAAAAATTGAAACTTTGATGAACCCAAGTGAAGTGAAATTCAGGAAGGAAAAAGACCTAGGGTCGCGGTACAATCTAAAATTCCCGTGGATCGAAACGTTTGCTAATTTTTTGAAGCAAAAGAAAGTTAGCATACAAGAATAAAAATTGGGTGGAAATGGGAATAAAGGTGGGGTTTTTTGTCTGCTGTTTGTTTATACATATAAAATACATCCACCATCTAATCCAATATGCTATAAAACAATAAAATCCCTCAAGGAATAATATTAATATCGGAGAGCATAAGAAAGAAAGCCTGAAGAAAACAGAAGCCCCACTGAGTAGCGTAGCATCCCCCCACTGTCCCATGCCTTTCCTCTCCCCCACTCGTCACATCCTTCAAATTTCCAAAATCCAACCCATTCACGAAAAGGGGCATCCCTAATTTTCTGTTGACAGACAGCGCAACGCACCCACCACCACTAGTCTCTTCTTGGAGACGTTGCTCAAGCCGCAGCGTTGACTATTGGTCCCTATGATTTTAAACTGTGGTTTTCCCAAACTATATATATATATATATATATATATTTATATAATATTGATGGAGAATTGTAGGCGTTTTGACTATTATGATGACTCTAGAAGAAGCGGTGCAGGTGTTTGGGCGGATAGGGCGTGATTGTGATCGTTCTCGTAAGTAACAATCAGCATTGTTGGATCGTCTAAGGCACGTTCTACGTGCTTCCGTGCTGGACAGCCTCTCAGACTGCTACACTTGTAATATCCCCTGTTTCATTTTACAAAAAAATCATCATTTTCAGTCAGTCAGTCGGTCCTCATACACTACACTACACTCTTTTCTCCTGTATATTATTATTATTATGCTTGCAAGACCAAACAACGGACTGGACGACACAGGTCAACCACTCCCCCTTCTGTTCTGCCCCCACCCACTTATTCATTCAACGACTTCACTTCACCACACACAAACCAAAACTGTGAAAACAAAGATAATGATCCAAAGCAAGAATCACACACCTTGGGTGAGGAGACCCTTTAATTGGTTTTTGGCCGTACTTTCTCCATGAGTAATCGTCCGGTGGGATGTCCGCAAGTTTTGAACTAACCGCTGGAACTCTGATCACTCTTTTCATTCTGTTTTTCCTGATAAGACATGCAAACACTCTCAGTTCAATAACGAATCTAATATATTCCAAACCCACTTTCGAAAAGTTTATGGAGATTTTATATAATCTGTTGTTAAGACCTACCTCTTCTTGGAACAGTGACATCGACCTGAAGACGAACCACACTTCCTGGCGGAATCGTCCATGGAATTGCATTTTCTCTTTAGTGAGGAGGAGGAAAGAGGGGGCTTTCCGGCGGAAGAGACCTGGGACATGTTGGTGAACTGGAAACCAGATGACAGAGATGGGTTTAAGCTTTCGGTGTCTCCGGTTAAGGATGAAATATAAGAATTTGCAGCGGAAATCGACGGCGAGGCTGCGAAATTGATTGCGGAAGTTGAGTCTTTTCTGTTTACAGACCCATTTTTTAGTCCCCCCGATGAGTTATTCTGCTGGGGTTGGAAAGTATTTGGCGGATTAGAAGGCTGATGGAAGTTGTTGTTGGGCAGACCAGGCAAACGCACAACAGAGTAAGGCGTGGGGCAATAAACCTTGAAAGCAGAAACTGATTCTTGTTTCTTTAGTTGAGGGACTGAAATCGGAGACGACGAACTCGGATCTTGATGTTGCGGCTTGACCTTGGGCGGAGAGGAAGCAGTAGAATCAACCGGAGCCCTTCTGAAACGAGCATGGCCGGTTCGGTTCCGGTCGAGTAAAGAAATGACCTTTTTGAATTTGTTGACGACGGAATCGGCGACGGCTTCGTATCCAGCAGCAGCATCGAGAGCAGTGGAAGTGGAAGAATCGTGTTGAGAGTGATGTCGATTAGGAGTATGAGACACCAAGGTGAGGAAAGTATGAACGCTCTGAATCCCAGCAGAAGCGGCTTCTTGAACAGCAGAAACAGCAGCATTTTCTTCCATACTGGGCGTGAAATTAGCAGCAGCATCCCCAAAACCCACCATAAACTCCACAGCCATATTGTTCTTGAGAAGCAGCATATGAAAAACAGAAGGGGCGCAGAAGGAGGAGAGTATTATATTGAGAAAGAAGAAAATGGTGACGAGGAAAAGCAGAAGGGTGGGAAAAGATAAAAGAAATTGGGGGAAGGGGAAGAAAAGGATTCGAGTCAAACTGATGGCCTCTCTATGCAAGGCATCGGGCAACTGAGCTGTCGATTCTGGTCCATCTGCCGTCAAACCCTGAAGCCAATGAGAGGACGCCACGTATGTGGAAACTGTCAGTACATTGACCCTCCTGCGTAGGAAAGGCCCAATTACAGGGTGAATCGGTTGGAGAGGAGAGGGGTTTTAAACGAGTGGTGGGATTAGATAAGGTCAAAAGGTTGAGAGTAGCCGTTAGATTGAGGACTGGGTAAAATCGGGAATGGAGAGAGAGAGAGAGAGAGAGAGAGAGAGAGAGAGGACAATATATTATTAGTTGGAGACAGTGGGATAGAGTTGACCTTTCCCAGCTTTTAATACAAAAGTCATTGAGTGAGTAGGTGGGGATCTTTTTTTTTACCGGATACCGGAACTCTCCACCAACAACTCACCTTGGATTCCCTTCTTTCCTCAACAAATTAATTCATTCATTCATTTTCAAATTTCAATCCTTCGGTTTGGTTTGGTTTGGTTTTTGATTGGGCTTTGCCTTTTCGGGCCCACATTATAGGAGAGACCCACAAAGTCCTGGAATGAGAAATCTTGTATCCCTTTCCTATAGTTGAACGAACCCTAAACCAAAAGTTGAGATAGATGGTGTGTTGGAGTTGAGGCAGATGAACAGAAGGGGGCTTCATTCATTTGGTGCAGATATCAAGAGAAATAAGTGGGTGCCAATGGCATAGGGAGGGGGGTCGTCATCGTGTGGCTCAGAAGGCATCCAATTCCTATAATCAACGCCATTTTGAAAGGTATGGCTGAAAAGAAAGAACACCCAAGTTTGGCAAAGTTGGTTCAAATTTTAGTGACCAATTCCTCCAATTTTCCAACCTCCAACAAATGTGAATTTTTTTGACGAAAACGTGTTCAGTTGGGATCTAAAACTTTAAAGAAATTTCAAGATTCCATTAATATTATTAAGTCAAGTTTCAATTTTCATTACAGAATCCCAAATTCGAAGCCACTTTGTTGACTTTCTTTTTGTGTTTTAAATACCCAACTTCCTATTCAACTCCTCCATTCCCCACCCCCCACCTTTTAGCCTTTGCTTTTTTCATAAATGATTTTAATTACATGAATTGATTAGCCTTTCCAACTCATTTGTTGAATGCTAACCAACCCTCAATTTTTTAATTCCCAAACTATCTAACAAACTTGTTCAACAAAACATTAAAGATCAAATCTATAATTCAAAATTTAGAGCATAAATTATGTTATGATTTATACTTTTGGTATTTTTCATCAGAAAAATCATGAATATTTGTTGGTGCATGTAACTTTTGTTTGTGTTTGATGATTGGAAACAAGAAAACAAATTCATTATTTTCATCCTTCCCATCATTCAGAAAGATAAATGAAGTAGGGATAGGGAAGGCAGTTTTCAATGTAGTGATGAGAGGGAAATGTTTTGAAAATTATTTAGGTAATACTATCCGCACCCCAATGTTTTGTTCTCCTCTCTAACCTATATAACATATCACAATCCACCTCTTTAGTGGCACACCACTCGGCGTCTAGCTCTAATACTAACTCTAACAGCTTAGCAGATGTTGTCTACTTTAGCTCAATTTATATCTTTGTTAGCCTTATTATTTTAAAACACATATGTTATAAAATGTTTTCTTACTCTTATAAGCAATACTTCGTTCCCCTTCTCAACCAATTTGAGATCTCTCAATTTATCCCCTTGGGGTCAGCGTCATTGTTGGGCACACTACCAAATGCTTGGTTTTGATACCAATTATAATGGCCCGAGGCTATCGCTAGTAAACATTGTTCGCTTTAGCCTATTACATACATATTGTCGTCAGTCTCACGATTTTAAAGCATAGTTGTTAGAGAGAGGTTTTCATATTATTATAAGAAATGCTTCGTTTCACTCTCCAACCGACGTGAGATCTCTCACTCCACCCTTTTTGAAAGCTAGCATCCTCGTTAGCACACTGCCCAATGCTTAGCTTTGATACCGACTATAACAGCTCGAAGATACCGCTAACAAATATTGTCCATTTTAATCCGTTATAATATCATTGTTAGTCATACATGTTTTAAAACTGTAAACTTTGAAATTGAATTTGTTTTTGGTACTATTGGTGGTCTGAATAAGATAAAATGTAAAATTATTTGATAATATGATGAAATATAGAGAGGTATAGAGGGAAGTGTGGAGTGGGGATGCATGTGTCAAGTGGGCAGAAGATCCAGACAGCCCAATTCAAGCCCCTGTGGGTGTTTTTGCGTACAGTATGGGCCGTAAGCCTAGTGGCAATTGTCCATGCTGCTGCCCTTCTGGCTTCTCCTGTTTCTTAGCTTCCCATGTGAATGGAACTTAAGTTATTGTCCACTCACAAACCAGATCTCTCTTATCTTTTTCAATCCTCTTCCTTATTTTAATCACATCATATTCGCTTTTGTTTTTTTTTTGGTTCAAGCTGCCTAAATCTGACCAGTTTCCCCTCATTAGTTGCGTCCAAATTTCATCCACTCTCCCTTCTCTAACTCTTCTATTTAAAACAATAATCCTTATCCACAATTTTACCATCTCACACTTCCAACCCAACCTGCCATTGCGTGTTTGGATTGCTTCTAAAATAAAAAAAATGTATTTTTAAATTTAGTTTTTCATATGGATAATGGAGATTGCTAATGGTTGTTAGTGATATACACCAATGGTCCATGATAGTTGTCCGTAGGTGACAACAATTATGAAGAGTTGAAGGGAGGGTAAGATTAATTTAATTTTTAGTTGGTAATTACTTAGGCAACAAATTGTGTGTTAAACCCATTTCTTCTATTGTTAATTTGTGGATTTATATTAAAGATTAAACTATCATATATTTTAAATTACAATAATTAAAGTATCTTTAGAATGAAAATAAATTTAATACTAAATGTGCACCATGAAGACATGTTACATTGAATTGATAGGCTATCTCACATTATTCTCCAAAATAAGGTAGATGACGATGCAAGGATATTTAATTGGAAATAAATAAATAAATATTGCGCCACATTTTTGGGGAAAATAAAAATGAAATACCATAATTTGGGAACACGACAAGTATGTCTGACCAAATATCTCTATGATTTTACTTGCCTTGTAGTCCCTTTAGCAGCCACTTGATAATAATTCAACCCAAAAAAAAAAAAAAAAAAAAAAAAAAAAAAAAAAAAAAAAAAAAAAAAAAAAAAAAAAAAAAAAAAAAAAAAAAAAAAAAAAAAAAAAAAAAAAAAAAAAAAAAAAAAAAAAAAAAAAAAAAAAAAAAAAAAAAAAAAAAAAAAAAAAAAAAAAAAAAAAAAAAAACGAGCTGGATCTCTATAATTTAATAAGGACATATATTGCAAATTTTATATATAAAAAAACATTAGGCTTTTGAGTTTTATAACATACTATTAAAACTGTTTTCATTAAAAAAACAATATTAAATTATGTTGTTGTCTTGAAATTTATAAAGAATATTTCTTAATCCTCATTGGAATTCTCACGACCATGAGGAAAGCACGATAATTAAATTAATTAATTAATTAATTAATTAATTACAATTAAGTAGCGGATAATTGGAAGGAAATCTTATAGTGGATCTATTAAAATATAAGAGAAATGGGCAAAGAGGAAGATAGCAATGTCAATGCATGGGCTAAGGAGACGAATGTAAATTAGATTAAATTACAAATTGTATCTCAAACTTGTAAAATTTCAAAATACCTAAAGAGTAAATTTCATTGGTCCGTATCTATAAAGTATGCGGGGCCCACCGAGTAGTTTTCATATAGATACAAACCATTCAATCTCATAACGACGTGGCCAATCTTGACTCGCTCAAATCCAAAATATCGTGTGTTCGATTATTCATGTTTTAAAGCTCTCAATGATATTCAAGAAAAAAAAAGGTAAATAATATTTTGACGAATGATATATTATTAATATTATGGGTTTTAAAATATGAATTACTTAATATTTAAAAAAACAATAAGGATGGCATGAATTATTTTGTAGCTTAAGGAGTAAGGAATGGTGTATACACGTGACTCACGATGGCCAAATTTAATAAAATAGGCATACTTTGATTCCCCACAAAGTCCACGGTAAATCGGCCAACCTCCCAAGGACTTCACCCGATTACCGTTCCGGGTACGGGTTGACCCGATTACCAGCATCCGTGCCTTGGTACCCAATTGTTTTCGTCCTATTCGCCCATTTCTTCCCAACTACTTTTTTTTTTTTTTTTTTTTTTTTTTTTTTTTTTNTTTTTTTTTTTTTTTTTTTTTTTTTTTTTTTTTTTTTTTTTTTTTTTTTTACATTTTATAATTCATTTATCTCAATATTTTATTTATTTATTATTTTTATTAATGCATCGATGAACACTAATTTGTGTATTTAAAGTCGTCCCCTCATCCACTTTCTTCAACACTTTCTTCCTCCTTGAAACAAACGAGCTACAGAAATGGGGACCTACCGATCCTCGCAGATTATGCCTCTCCTCTTCTTCGTCATCATAACTTTATCATCGGCCTTGGCTTTGGCTTCTTCGATCATCTCCGAGAGGACGGATGAGGAGGTGATGGCGCTCTACGACCAGTGGCGTGCTAAGCATGGGAAGTTGCGGAACGGCCTCAGAGGACAGCGGGATGATCGATTCGAGATCTTCAAGGATAATCTTAAGTACATCGACGAAATCAACGCCCAAAATTTGCCCTACCGTTTAGGTTTGAACGTATTTGCAGATCTGACCAATGCCGAGTACCGATCCAAGTACTTGGGAACCAGATTCGCCGCTGGTTCAAGGAGAAACAAGACGAGCAGTCGCTATCAGCCTCGCCTTGGGGATAAACTTCCCGAATCTGTCGATTGGAGGGAGAAAGGAGCCGTCGTTCCCGTTAAGGACCAGGGAAGCTGCGGTAACTTCCTCTTTTCTCGGATTCTTCCAATTTCAATATTTAATAGCTTTCCTATTTTTACTCCGAATTTCCTGTCTTTTCCTTTTTCTCTTTTCACTTACTTTCTCTTCTGGTCTTTCACGATGCTATATTTGGCACATATTCACGCAACTTCAGTAACTAGTATAAATTACAGTGGGTTATAACTATTTAACTTTAATTAGTGATAGTATTGTCACTAATCGATTGCTATGATAGTTCTTGAAAGGTCGATCGAAACTTTGAGGTAACGACTTTTTTTTTTTTCTTTCTTTTTGCTGCTTGCCGCTGCCTTTGTTTTTATCCATTTAGTATAACATAAATTTTGTTTTGGTACTTTTGGAATATGTGAACATTTGACCAATTATTGGGAAGAATATGGGTTATTCTTTTTCATTATTTCTTTTAAAGAAGGGAAAATAGGGATCGGGTAATTTCAATAGTATCATTCAATTTTAAAGGAAATTGAATCTGCCTAATAAAGATTGGCATGCAACATGGTTGCAATGATTTAACTAAATAAATTGGAATTGAAAATTCGAAAATCTGTAAGGAGATTGATTTTGGTGAACTCGGGATTATCGGTGTTGGTGTTGGGTGCTTTCACTAATTAGCTTTATGGGTTGCTCGTGGAATGGAGCAGCCTTATCTTCCGCTTGCACTGGCCCCGCTCAATGACCTTTTGGTATACCTTTACTCATGAGATATTTGAATGGGTCTCTTCACTTTTTTCAAATATTTTTTAACATCTATCTTTACAAAAGTAATTATATCTTGTTTTTTTTTTTCTTTGTTCTAAAAAATTATTATATAGTGGTTGAATTTTGATGGCGTATGCTTTTATTTTATGCAATTGGTATATTAATTGATTTCTTTCTTCTTTTTTTTTGAGACCATATTGATTGATTGCTTGACCATATGTATTAGTCTTATATTGGTTATCTACCTTCGTTTGGTCCTTTGTGTTTTTATAAATTATTATTTTAATCTTATTTGCAAATTTCTAATACATTGTATGCACAATTAAAAAAAAGGAATCCGTTAATGTAGTGGTGTTACAAACTTTTAAGAAATTGATTGAATATATAGTTACATTATGATTGTGATTATAAAATAAGATAAAGATGAAAATAGAAAAATAAAGCAGTCACTTTGAAATATGAAGCTAAAATAGATATCTTAGAAGTATAAAGATCATATTGAACTAAATTCATGACATAAATAGACTTTATTGAAAGGAACTAGACAAAATGGACATGTTGTATGATTTTGATTTTTATGTGTAACTTTTGTGACTGGGCTATTGCCATCGTCTTAGGTGTTGATTACACTCATCCTAATTATTATATTTGTTCAATTAAAATATCATATTAAGGTGATGGTTTTAGATACCTTATATAGAAATTTTATTATAGACCGAGAAAACATTGGAGTATTTTTAATATATTTATAGTTATTTTAACATTAAAAAAAAAAGTAATTTAGTATTATACGTCACATAAAATAGAACTTCGAAGATTTTAATCATTATTAGATTTGATATTAGCGGCTAAATATGTGTTTGCGTTTTTGGAGTATGTATTTAATTTAGCCCCTAATTATTAATATATTTTTGATTTAATGTTTTCTATTTTAACATTTATGAACTATATATTTTGTCTGACTTAGAATTGGCTGATGGGAAATTTATAAGGCATGTTCTAGAAATTCAGATGAAAACTTAGGCTTTCAAGAGGAAAATAAGTTCTGACCTATTTTCGCTCTTAAATGTTTCTGAACTTAGTATCATAAATCAATTCAACTTTAACCAATAAAAAATGGTATAATCAAAGAGGAAATTAAAACGTTTAAGATATATTAGGGATTAATCAAAATCATATATTTAGCTTAGTTATTATTTTCTAAATTATACTCTTGACGAGATATGGTCATTGGTCACTAGAAGTATGCTAATTGTTGAAGTTGATATGAAGGGAGTTGCTGGGCGTTCTCAACTATAGCTGCTGTGGAAGGCATAAACCAGGTTGTTACAGGCGACTTGGTAAGTTTATCAGAACAGGAGCTGGTGGATTGTGACACTTCTTATAACGAAGGTTGCAATGGAGGCTTAATGGATTATGCCTTTGAATTCATCATCAACAACGGTGGCATTGACACCGAGGAAGATTATCCTTACAACGGCTTTGATAGCTCCTGCATCCAATATAAGGTCTCTATTGCCACTCAACTATCACTTTCCCTTTTGCACACCCAAGCATATTTTGATATCTGATTGATTATCTTTGTGTTGTGTTGGTCTTTCTTCAGAAAAATGCTAGGGTCGTTTCAATTGATGGCTATGAAGACGTTCCTGTAAACGATGAGAAAGCACTGCAAAAAGCTGCCGCTAATCAGGTTGTGGCTGTTGCCATCGAAGGAGGTGGTAGAAGTTTCCAGTTATATCAATCGGTATAGCCTCCATTTCTATGAAGTTTTGCTTTTCTTTTTCTTTTTCTTTTGTATTTACACTTCGAGAAAGGGTCTGATTTGTGGTTTGTGTATGTGTTTAGGGTATATTCACTGGAAAGTGTGGAACAAATTTGGACCATGGTGTTAACGTAGTTGGATACGGGTCTGAAGGGGGCGTTGATTACTGGATTGTGAGAAACTCATGGGGCGGGAGCTGGGGTGAACATGGCTACATCAGGATGCAACGTAACATTGCTTCCTCAACAGGTCTCTGTGGAATTGCAATGGAACCTTCCTACCCCATTAAAAAGGGACCAAACCCACCAAATCCAGGCCCAACTCCTCCAAGTCCGGTGAAACCACCATCTGTATGCGATGAATATTACACCTGTCCCGCCGCTGAAACCTGCTGCTGCATCTTTGAGTTCTCAAACCTGTGCCTTGAATGGGGATGCTGCCCACTTGAAAGCGCCACCTGCTGTGATGACCATTACAGCTGCTGCCCCCACGACTATCCCATCTGTAACGTCCGTGCTGGAACCTGCTTGAAGGTACATGGCTTCATTTTCCATTGCTTTAAAGCTAGTGGAAAATTTCTGAAGACTGAACTTATATTTTGTCGTGCAGGGGAAGAATGATGTTTTCGGAGTGAAGGCGATGAGGCGCACTACAGCTGCAGCCAAACCATCGTGGGCATTCGGAGATGTGTCTGTTGGAAAGAGCAGTGCTTAATAAGATTGCAGCTTTGTGGGGGTTAAGAACGAAAGACAGGCTTGTTACTGTTGCATCGATACTCTCCAAGGCCTGTGTTTCTCATATTGCATGCCTCCCGGTTTCACACATTTTAGTTCAATGGTCGTTTAAGTTATCACACCATGATTATTGTATATAGGACTTATTTGAATATAAACATTTGAAACAGAGACTAATTGTTGTCAAGTTAATATTATTAGCTCTCTCTGTGTAGAATTCTGAATTCAGCAACCATTGGGGCTGTGCATTAATAATGATGTGTTGTATCATTTCAAAGGTATTTTGAACTGGTTTTAGCTTTTAATATCTGTCTTGAGCTCTGGAAGAAAAACAGTCCGTACGATGGTTTGGTTAGTGCAACTTTGAACTTTTTGGAAGATGAAAAACATGTCATAGAATTCTGAAGAGATCGTGGCGAAGTTCAAATTTACCTTCCATAAACAAAAATTGTGGTTGGCGGTGAGCTTGATAGTGGCCACATCGAACATCGATGGAAACAAAAATAGTATTTCTGAGGAATTTAGTGTGTAGGCCATGGAAGCATTAGGACAAGAAATTTGAGGGATTTTTACTCCTTGGATTCTTGCTGTCTTCTATTCCATATATTATATGGTTGCATGTCTGTTCGATGTCAGACCGTGGGAGAGAAAAAGTCATGAAAGATTAAACGGAGATCGGTAGAAATCATAAGGAAACATGAAATTAGTTTTTGGTCCGGAGGAAGAATATTATTATCTTGTACATGTTACTTAGTATAGAAATCCCTACCTATTTTCAAAACTTTGAAGGAAAATCTAGAAGGAAAAATAAAAAAATGATAATATATGTTAGCGATGGTTTGAACTCTTACAAAGGATAAAAAGAAGAGTTTAGGGAAATCGAAGAGAGAGAAAAAAAATTATCCATTAGTTATTACGATAATTTTTTCACTTTCCATATATATAGAAATAAAAACAGATGGATTAGAAACGAGTCTCTTATCTCAATGACACCACAGGAATATTAAATGAATGAAATTGGGATATGGATGGAATATAAACATGAGAATTACGATCTTTGGCTTTGAAACTGAATCATTTCCTTGTACCAGATTAATAAGAAGGATTTGTAATATCAATACACATAATAGAAATAGGTGATTGCCTACTTCAACTTACTCATAAATAACATGTCATATTGCTGCAACACATCAATCACTACCATCAAATTATCCAATTAAACATTTGAGTCCAAGTCTCCCTTCAGAAAAACTTCAACCAGATAAGTGTTGAAAAAGGAAAAAGAAGAAGAGAAGACAAAAGACAGTGTTCCATAACCCTATCTACTCACACCATACAATCATTCTAACATTGAAATTCTAGGCAACAAAAGTAGCAACTAAATAATTCCCACAAGACTTCAAGAGAAACAAAATCTGTTTCCAAAGATCTTATAGCCAAGGCAATGGTACATATCATTAGCTTTTAATTAAATAGGAAGCGACCCCACAAGCAGACACTCGTATTCATATCATAGCTCCATATAGATGAAAAAGAAGAATAGAAAGAGAAACTAAAAAGCTAAATGGCTGGGACCATCCATTGTGTCGGGTGATGGGTATTCATATGGGAAAGACAACTTGACCCAAATTTTAACACTCTTGTCATGCCTCTCTCTTCCAATTTGTTTCCAGAGGACCATTGCCTGTGGTGCACCACTACTACTACCTGCAGAAGGATTGGGATAGGCCACCGGAGTGGAACCCCACTCTGCCCTCAATAAATGGATGGATCCCTTTATCATCACTATCACATACATTCACCCTTTGATCCTCAAATAACAACACTTAACAGTGCAGATAATGCAGAGCAGCCAATGCCATAATCTAATCCGTTCTGATTTCAATTTCAAGTACTACGGCTGAAAGCCATTTCATTTCCCACCACTGACCATGCTAATAATAACATGAAAGACAGATATCAAAATGAAGGCATCTTTGTTTTCTAATTAAGCTACTTAGGTGGCTAGATATTTTTGTTAACAGATAACTCAAAGAAGTGATTATACAATTTCGGTGCCTACTAACCAACCATCCAAATCCATGCAAGTACCAAATTCATCCTTTCTGTGACAATAATGTGTTTCAAGGATACTTTTCCTTGGTTAATTGAGGCTTAGACCATTTTGACTCGTCCCTCCAAGTCTGAATCCCAATTCTGTCACCATCCCATCCTCAAACCCCAGACGACCAGGGTTTTTCCAACTTGGTTTCTCTTCTGTTTCTTGGGCTGCATCTAACTGGCTGGAGGTTTCTATCTTCACTTCTGAGTTGGTAGCCTTCATTGTATTCGAGTTTGGGTGGTTAATGGACATGAGTTGAACTGAATCGAGACATTCATTGGCTTCACAACGTGGGGTACTATTAGAAGGCAGCTTTGATTTAAAAGTTCCAAGATTGCATGAGGTGGAAGGAAGAAGAGGTGGGATTGGCCACACTGGCGTTCCAGAAGCCGAGGGATGTTGTGGGGTGTTCCAGCCTAAGTTGATGGATTTAGAAGATTCATCAAGCATGGAGCTGAACAATCGCTTCAACCCAGTTGATTGGTTTTCGATCATCTGGACATCTGGCTTTAAAACGTATGGATGTTGGCTAGGAAGGTAGGGCCTTTGAACCGCAAAAATACCTGGCATGCTATGCAGGTAGCTGAATTTCCTCTGTACATTAATGACTAAATTGAGATCTTCCTGAACCTGCAAAAGAAACCATCAATCTGTGTAACTTGGCAAAAAGCGACCTTAAAGAAGAAAAGGTAAGGCGAAACCTTATCAAAAGAGCCCAGTTGAACTACGCCTTCTCGTACAGCAAAGACCGCAATTGTCTACAAAAAGAAGTATCTGATAAGCTGGAAGTGATCGTTTACACTGCCGTGTTTTGCTAATGGCAAGTTAAGTTTGTAGAATAGTACCTGAATGCCTGATTTAAATTGAGATTCCCATGCTCGAGGTTGCTGCACATGAATAAAGTGGAAACGTCAAGAATGTTATCCATAGAATTTAACTGACATTCTTTTCCCTCAAAAAGGAAAAAGTTCGCATACAGGCTCAATGGATGAGTTCCACGAGGAGATGAGGTTCGGATCACTTTCACTTGCGTTATCTCTAAAAACCCATTTATGACTATTATCTGCTCCAACTTTTCCCACTAACCTGTAATGTAACCAAGGACATACAGATTCTCTGATGAATGTATCCAAGAGGTTCCTAAAGATACTTTAGAACTGTTCAAATTTTACATACAGGTTTGAGTTCTCTCACCCTTCTCCATAACTGTAAACCTCATGAGACATTTTGAAGAAGAGATCAAGTCCAAACCTCCCTTCAATACATCCACTTGCTGCTTTTTCACATTCATGGAAATCACAAAATCCATCTTCCCAAACAAGAATCCTGAGATAAATACAACTCATAAACTTCATAAGCAGTCAAGATTCCTAACAAAATTATCATATTTGTCTATACATACCAGTTCCTCTTGTTTCCTTTAGAGCGATCAAGAGCACTCCCACCGAACTCCCACCTGCAACAAAGCAAAAGATGTGGGGAAAATATCTTATGAATCAGAATACTACTCATCCATCACTCATCACTTCCATGGCCACTTGAGTTTTTAGTTCCCTTACTTGGGTGGAGGAAAGTTTCTAGGGAGGATCCTCCAGAAAATGGCGTAAACCCACTTGGAAGAGGTAGAGCTACAAGATTTTGATGACAAACATAGACTCCTTAAAGTGTGTTGTAACAGACAGTTAAGCATGGGAAGGCCACTTTCCATTTCACTGAAAGAAAACCGACTGGTTCTGTACTCGTCTTTCTCTTCACAATTAAGTGGAAAGAGCAATCATGGTATTTAACACACCTACTCGCTGGCATTTAGTGTGGGAAACACGCTTCACCTCCTCCTAGTCCTGGCTATACATATTATTTATGTTGTGGTAGTGATTTTGCCACAAAATAATAATATTAAAATTAAAAAAAGTTGTGATCCTCTCACAACTATTCATATGGGAAAACTGTGAACTGTACTTAATCTCATCAAAATTTGGTAGCTGTAAAAGAATTCATTATCAACTCACGACTTCCATTTTTCTCCAATACATATTTTGCACATCAATAAACGTTGGAGGAACTTTCCAATGCAACTTAATTCCTGATATAATTTAAGGGGCAGGAAAACCAAACATGCATGTTAAGGAATGTATATAATCCAAGGTTCTGTTTCCCAAAAAATACATCATTTAACACTCATTACCGGCAAATGTCTGCATAAAAAATTGTCTATTGTAGGTGATGTGGTCCGCAAGAAAGCTCCATCGGATTCAAATTGCACCAAACTTCGTCCTTATGTCGGCCCACCATACAAGACACAAGACAGCTCTGGTCTTCTCACGCTCTCCAGTCTCATGCTTCATTTACATGGACAGAAACAATCCATGGTATAAATTGCTTTGCTGAAACCTGCCTGCTAAATTTTCTGCAAGAACGGATGAAGTTCTTAAATATTTGATAAATTTCCATAAACACTCGGTAGATCTTGAAGGGGACATACAGATATATCATAAAGTCTGAGAGAACTTTTCCTAAAGTATTGGGGTTAGATAACTATTATTGAAGGAAGTTATGATTTTTCAAAAAATAATTATTCTGGATGGATTCTATTCGAAAGGTAAATCTTCTTCTCTTGTCAACATCGCTTAGCTGGCATAATATCTATTATCCATCCACAACCTTAGCACTGCAACAATTATTGTTCTTTCATCTATTCTAAGTTGAGTGCGTCTAGTAATGCTATGAGTATTGAGTGAAGTGCCCTGCTTTCCCAGAATAGAAATAGATGAATGGGAAATGATAACTTTTCGAGCAAATATGTTAGTCAGTCAATATGTTTATGGCTAATTAAGCTCAAAGGGACTCTATATCCAATAATACACCTCATCTATCCCAGCATTATTTGGTAGCAAGTAATCAAATGCCCAATTAAGCATGCTAAAAGTTAACAAATCTAGCACAGTAAACAACAAAGAAAGACATAAAGAGATGAGAAAATACTGGTCCACCACGAATTTATGAGGGAGAAGGAGCACCATGCACTTTCACAGCATGACCCCTCCACCATTTTGCAGACACCCTATCCTCATCCTGCACTGTATAAACGAAGATAGCTGAAATAAGTAACAAATCTCAATAGAATGGGTCTCCAAGATGTCATATCTTTTTGTCCATTCACTACGAGTAAACAAATACAATTTTACCCACCCAATATCATAGCAGCAATAAATTGCCATCCTGAAGTTCTATCACATTGGCAATCGTTGAACCTGAAAGCAGCCACATTAATGCCAAGCTAACAGTACCCTATATAATAAAGGATAAGGTCTTATTGCACCATTATTATCACTTTCAAAGCGCGCATAATAGGGCATTGGATGGGGCTACTGGTTCTGGCGAAAGAAACACAATGTTGGGAAGATGCCCCCATTACTAAAGCAGCTAAATTTACGTTGATAGCTACCGTAATTTGGGCAAAGAAAGCAGTCTACATTTCATCAATCATAATAGTCCAGGCCCGTGGCTTGGCCCTCTGACACCATTTCTCCGCCTCTTTGGATTTGACATTATAACAAACACCTTCCGTGCATGTTTGGCTAATCCCAGCCGCAGACGACAACTCCACGCCCTTTTATCACATCTTTCACAAAGGAATGCGGCCGAGGCTCGAAGCTTGGCGGATGGTTTTAGTTCCTAAAAACTAGAATTACACTCAGAAAAGTGGTGTAAAACATTCTCTCTTTTTTCTTCATTTTTTTTTTTTTTTTTTTTTAATTTTTTTCAAAA